CATATGCTTTATGATGGTGTTATATCATGTCTTCTCCTTCAAGGCTGTGTACAATGTGATTTGTTACGACGACCGGACACGATTGCGAACAGCCGTTGAACTCCTGAATGCCACAAAGGAAATCGAGGATCAAGTGAAGAAGGTCGATTTCCCGATTCATTAGTCTCGTATGCTGTTCCATTTCTTATTGTGTACAGCACGCTGGATGCTTTTACATTGCTGCAATCTAAATTCGGAACTCGAGTGCTTGCAGGTTTCGTCACCGCTGCTGATTCTTCACGGAGCTGCAGATAAGGTAACGGATCCGGCAGTGAGCCGGTTTCTTTATGAACAAGCCTCAAGCAAGGACAAGACGTTGAAGCTGTATGAAGAAGGGTATCACTGCATTCTGGAAGGAGAACCTGATGACAGAATTTTAACTGTCCTTAATGATATTATTTCATGGCTGGATGCTCATTGCTAGGTTTTAATACATACAATTATTGTTATCGGCAGAACAGCAAATTAGTTTTTTTATTAATAAGGTGAGCAGCTTATTCCCTTTACTATTTAATTTTGAAATAAAGAGAATTTTCTTTTAAATAAACATGATAAGCTAACGTATTATATAAATTATTATCATTGATATTAATGTAATACTATTTTAATTTAGGAATTTTAATTTAGGATAAAATATACAAATAGTTTTCAGTTAAAACATTAAGTGGCTGATTGGTTTGGGGAATGTGGGATCAACGAGGGAACAGAATCAACATTCCCTGTTTGGTTGGCCGGTAATCTCATTTCCGGTAATGTTTTATTACCAACAGTGGATTTTTTGGGTATATTATCGGGAATGTCATTATCCCATCCTATAGGTATTATTGGATTACAGGTGTTTTAGATTAAATTGCCTTTAATTTTTTTTTCAAAAATATTTTTATTCTGTCATTGAATAATAAAAATTCTACGAATATTAAATTATAAATTTATCCTTAAACTATTTTAAATTTACAAAAAAATCTATAATTAAAATTTTATATGAAGTTCAATGATTAAAATAAAATTTTACCCTTTCATTAAACCTTTTTATATTTTTAATTTTGTAAAAAAAATTATATAAATTTTATTAATTTAATTTTTTTAAAGAAAATATATAAATATCTTATAATAATATTATAGTAGAATTCAATTTATTAAAAATATATATATAATAAGGACAATTTGGTCAAATATACATTCCAATAATCTTTTATTCCTTTAACAAAACACGTTAATCTTACATTCTTGCTAGACCAGCCAAACACAAAATACAACATTCCCAATAATCTTATTTCATGGTAATCTTTTATTCTCACTGGTAATCTTACATTCAGTGAACCAAACGCACCCTAACAACAATATGAGTTTAATTAGATTTTATCATATCTCAAACAGAGGTTGACATCCAGCTTAAATTGTCCTCAATTTTTTTACATAAAATTCGAATTTGAAAGATAATGAATAAGTGGGTGACCATGTCTTATAATCGGGGATCATTTTATAATTTTTAATAGTCGGAGGACTTAAAAGTAAAAGGCTCTATAATTGAGGGACAATTTGTATACTTTACTCTTTAATTTAATACATAGACAGGTAATATTTACTTAATATAAAATTAATTAAATATATTCATTTTTAAATAAAAAAATAGACTAGTATTAAAATTCTCTCTTTATATATATGATTGCACTAAGTACTCGTGTTTCATTTTAGATTTAGTGGGGAGGGCCACTTTGTTCGATGAATGTGAAATGGTACGAACAATACTGTACCTTTATACGACTTAATTACATCATATATCCTTAAATTTTTGCTTTCTTTTAAATTAGTCCTCAATTAAATTTTTTATTTTATCTTCAAACTATGACTATAATTCTAAATTAATCCCCCAAACTTTTGAATATTTCAATTTTATCCTCAAACTATCATCATATGTTAATCACATCTCTTGTTTTTTTAGTAAAATAAAGGAATAATCACATCTTATATTAATAAAATAGTTTTAAAAAAATAGTAACTATTATGTAAATACTGATGTATATTTTATAATAATATGATATGACATAATGATGATTAATATTGTATCATATCTCAAAATCATTATTTAGAATGAAATGAAAGGATTCTTTGACTTTTGTTTTTGTTCTCTCAATTTATTTATAGTTCTTTTTATTATGTAAATATTGCAATGTAATACTGATGTACATTATATAATAGTTAAAAAATATATTAAATTTTAAATAATAGTTACCAATGGGGTTGTCGACTCATAATTTTTTTAATACGACCTTTTAAGGTCATGAATAAAAATAAAATCTAATATATTTAAAGGATGCTTAGAAGTTATTGCTCGAATCGAATTTGAGGTATTACACATGCAAATAACGTTACTATATTTTATAGTTCGTTTGTCCATGCAGTCAAATATATTAGTATCTACCTTTTGTTCAAATTTATTTTGTTAGATTTGTTTAACATTTTTTCTTGCATGTTCGTGTGATCTTAAGTAATTAATTTTTTACGTTAATGATTATAGAAAAATATCTTTACTATATGTTTAGTTTACAGTTGTGATTGTAAACCTCGATTGTAATTTGAATATTTTTTTTATTTTTAATAAAACTAATGACTTCCATCTTGTTCAAAAAATAAATCTCACATCCATGTTTGATATGTTATTTTAAAATATTAATAATAATAATAATAACTTATAAAGGAAAATCTAAATGTAGAACTTTGAAGTTAGATGATATCATGTAGTTACCCTAAAAGAAAAGTAATAAATTAAAAGAAGATGCCATACGAAATGAGTATTTAAGCTTAGATATGTAAATATAAAGACGTACAGCAGCTTTAAACAATTCTCAGTCTGGTCTTATACGGTAGAACGAACGCAGGCTGTATAGCATAGCCGTCTGCTCTCTCTGCCCTCTCATGCTTTTCGTTTGCATCCCCCCTCTCTTTTTTCTAAATAATATATAACATTAAAAACCCCACATGGCTATCCAATTTCATAGAGTTTTTTTTTTTAATACACGTGTTAAAAAAGTAAAGAGAAAGCCAAGAGTGTCATAAATCCACGCCTCTCGCCGATGCGATCCCGAGATATATTCGTTGGACAGAAACGTACGGGTTGACATAGATCCGAGAGATTCATCAGGCAGAGAAACAGTTTTTTCAGATTTGTATTACGTATGGATTAGTGTATCCACAAAAATTTTACTTCTTACATGTATATTTGGTTACGTTCTCGGTTTTAAGGTTTTGTCTTGATTAATTCGAATCAACTTACGTCGTATACCTGATTTTTTGTGAGTGCCGGCAGGAATTTTATTCATGCACAATAATTCAAACTCGAGATCTTAATTAAACGATATCAAATCGTTTACTACTTAAACCAACTCTTATTTGATACAAGTACCGACAGGAAACTAGCTGATAGTTAGGCACAAATACAGTACTCTCACATCTTCATAGTTTGACTTTGTTCAAGACATGCCCACTGATTTCCACCAACCATACTCCGATAGAGATGGTCATCTTTAAACGCCTATCCATGATCAATTTTGAATTTGGATGCTTCTATATCATAGGTGTTGGTGTATACTTTGCCCTAAGCAAGTAAGCATATATCTTTGCTTCAACTGATAAATCACTAATGTATCTTTTAAAGAAGGAAATCCGGAGAAAATAATTAAAAATTAGACGAAAAATTATAAATCTACAGAATAAAACTAAGAAGAGATGGATATGATGAAAGATATTTAGCGGTAACCACGACGAATAAATTAAAAAATCAAAAGATAAATCATAGGTCTACAGAATAAAACTAAGAAGAGACAGATATGACGAAAGATATTTAACAGTCTTGAAATGCCATTGCTGGCCTTCAATCTCGTAAAACCTTGCTTTCTTAAACACCTGAAGCCTTTTGATTTCTTAAATATATGCTGTGATTAATGATCGCGATATTTTTCTTTCAGGGGGACTGTCAGCATTAAAGCGTCTGGGTTGCTATGTTTATTAGCTATTTAGCCTTTAGTTCTCTGGTCATAGGGTTCTCTCTATGTAGGATCAGAAATAAGGCATTCAAGGTTTAACGCTAATCTCTTTATCGGAAACAAAAAAACTACTATAAATCGTCCACAAAATATGTTTCAGATAAACAATAATTTCATTTAAATAATTGATTAGGTAGCACACTTGGATAAAGGGGCCGGGGCAGGTGGTTTCTATCGGCACAGAATGGGCAATGACTAGAGAGAAAGTGGCTGAAACTCCATTTCCACACTTTTCCTGACGACAAAACAATCAATTCCATCGAGAGAAAGTCTGATTAGCACTGAATACATTTTCCTTTTCTTTCTTTTTAGATAATTAAATGGTTGTGTAGTTAATATTAATGCAGTACCGCTGATATGCTGTCAGTCATAACTCATGAATACATCTCATTGTGGCCCATATTATCTCTTTCTCCATGATTTGAGAACATATTCGATGCATAACAATGAACAGATATATGGAGATAAGTTTAACGTGATCAGCGTCATGATAGCGGATTTTATGTTATTAAATATAAATATTGATGTAAATGTAAGTTCGAGTGACAATAGTTTTTCAGTTGATATCCAAGTTTATGTCTGATGCCCTAGCTTGTAGTCCACATTGACTAACAGGTGGCTAACAATACCCATAGAGCTCAAAGCAAAGCTAGTTGAGAGTGTCCACGTGCTGAAAAAAGCTGCAACAATCTCTGTACATAAACCAAAAACGTTCGCTGCCCTACTGTCCACATGCTCCATTAATCAAATGCTTTTATTTCTGGAAAGAAATTTATAAAATGTCGTATACTAAAAAGGATATAATCACCATATTCATTTATAATAAGTTTTAACAGAAGTTATCTCAATCTAAGATTGATGAGACTCGATTTTTTATTGAAATGTAGATAAATTTTAACTTACTAAATCTAAAGAAATTCACAAATCCATGAACCCGTCTTCAAATCGAATCGCAGAAGGATGGTCCAGATGTTGCTGCGAACCAGCACCACCTACATGACCTGATCCGACCAAATCCGATCCCCATGTTGGACAATGACCGAAACCGTTCCCAACCGGGGCACCGATGCAAGTATAGTTGGAGTCCGGTCCAGATAGATAGTTGTTTAGGTTTTGCTGATGGTATTGTGAACGTGACAAGCTGCTGTTTATTCCGAGGACATGACCTACATAGTAGTCGTTGATTCCCTGAGTTGGGTATTGGGAAGTGTGGGAGGAGCCGAGGTGCGAAGGAGTCGGTTGTAAATACGGTTTTGGCGGCAGCATCAGTGTCGATGAAGAACCAGAAAACAATCTCGGCGGGCAAACTGATCTAAACGGTATCGTTGGATCACTGGGATGGTAGCTTGAAGGAACATACCCTAGATGACCAGGGGTTGCCGATAAGTTATCGTTACTGAAGACCAGTTGCCGGGCTCGGTTTAGTGTTTCTGTCTCCCTTTCTGATCACCCAACAACAACAGCAATTACATAAAATCAAATAAACATGGAAAACTAGACCAGACCAAAATTCAGCAACGAAACCATTCGACATGACTTGCCTTGGCGATGTCGGTTCATGTGTCCCCCAAGAGCTTGAGATTTGCAAAACTTGAGCGAGCAAAACCTACATTCATAGACCTTGCCGCACTCATCTTTCTCATCCTTAGCGCCGCTTTTCTTTGACCTGTAGCCTGCTTTTTAGATAAACACCAACTAAAGTAACTCCGATGAGACCATTCTTGCAACTAAACCACAACCCTAATCTACCTAAATCAGTGTATAAAATAAAACCAACAAAAATAACTAAAGCTTCAAAAAGAAACTTGTGCTCCTTTTAAGTTACCGGAGGAGGAGCCTTCCTGAAAGACCTGTACTTTACCATCTCTAGCGTAATCATCAGGCAAGTAGTTGAGGTCTAGGGGTTTAATCTTCGCAGGTCTCCTGCAAAAACCAAAAAAAACATGAAGATAGTCACACAAAAACCAACTAATCAGGAGATTTAGTGGAGAAATGCAGAAGAAAAGAAAGGGAGACGATAAGACCTACATGGATGGTACCGACGGAGAAAGGAAGGGGAAAATGAGGTAAAAACTAGAGCTTTAGAAAATTATAAGACTTGATTGAAGGTGGAGAAATAGAGCATTGAAAATTCTCTATCAGTTTCTCTGCCAGCCTCTTTGGACTCATCTTCTCTCTCTTTTATCTCTTCTCATCTTTCATCTTTCTCTACTAGTGTTTGTGTTCAAGTCCTTTTAGTCATTTTTTGTTGGTTTGAGAGGAAGACATTCGCCATAGGAAGATAGCCCTAAGTCCTTAATTTGCAGGGACGTTGATTCGAATTGAAGAGTAGTTAGGAGTAAGATTAAGGGGTTTATGATTGGTCCCCATGTAGCTTTTAAGGGCTTCCCAGGGGCGATATCATTGTACCCTTGTCTTTGAAATGGAACAAGGAACTGTTACTATCATGATCTCGTTTATCAGGTTTTTTGTGTGATCTAAGTTCTATGTGGACTGAACCCCACAAAGTGTTGTTTTATTCTATGGAACTCCCTTCGTTGCTTCAGCAAGGTGCTTTGTGAAAGTGAAAAAAATTTCTTCTTGTTGGTTTATTTATCGAGTGTAGAAATTAATTGATAATCTAGCATGCAGCTAGGCTGCTATGCCCCTATCTCTTTATGTTTGTCCTCTCTTATGTTTGGTTTGATAATTTTCCCTTCTTTCCTGGGTTCCTTTTGCCGTACAACAAGGGCAAAAATCCTTCTTCTTAGGGGGGTTAATAAGTACTTTGCGAGTACTTCAAACTGGCTCGAAAAAGCTTGAACATGACTTGATTATTGTCAAACCATGTAGTTAAGAAAGCTGAATTCGAGCATATTAATGTCATATTTGAGTACCTTACTGGCCTACTAGAAATTTTTTTTCTTTTCTTTTTATTTTGAAACTGTTATAAGCAGCCAAGCTTGAGTGGCTTGTCTTGGTTGTTCCCTCAACCCTTGTTTCCCAGTGCCAAGTTATTCAATAACTGCTTATCATTCTTTGGATCACTCTACTCCAAGTGCCCCATAGGCCTATACTAAAAAACTTTACTATATCTCCGGAGTATATCTTTGGAAATTACCAACTCTCCCGGTAATAGAGAACTTCAGGTTGATTTCCCCTTCCAACAAGACCTCCACAGAACATGTGTAACACCCCAATTTATGGGCTAAATTTTAAAAATTATAAAGTATTGAATTTAAGTGATATTTTGGAAGAAATTAAAGATTAAATTGTAAAATTTCAAAGTTTGCTAATCATTTTAGAAGTTGAATGAAATTCAGGGACTAAACCTTGAATTTCACCATTTAGTGTCGACAGACACTACTTAATACGTGCGTGAAATGGGTTTATGTTTGCAAAAACAAAAATCAAATTAACAAAACTTCCTATCCCGCACCCCTTCTTTCAAATTCGATCTCGACGTCGTTTGGCCACCGATTGTTGATCCAAAACCACCATCGTATCCGTCATCGACCGATGAACAAAACCCCATAAATCGATCGTAGCGAAACGTTGTCAAATATTGTGAATTTCGATTCAAAGTTTCGACTTTTTTTAACACCACCGCCATAAAAATCGTCAATTCATCGTCGATCGTTGCTCTGTTTTTGACACCTCCCGTACCATTGTGTTCCTTGTATCGTTCCGAGTCCACCGGTATCCATCGCATCTTCGTCGTCGCCGGCTCCTGAGGGAGGTGAGGAAGTCAAAGTTTCCGACGTTTCGAAATCGATCTCTCTACCGTTCAAAATTTTGAACCGAGCTTGATAAGTGTCTCAAAATTGTTTAAAATATTTTTAAGAATTTTTCTGGAATTTTTGGGACACCCTAGGATTATTCACACGCCCCCACGCGATGCCCCTACGCTTGAGGAAGGTTCGAAAATGGGGGGAGACTGCTTTGACCCGTTTAACTCGACCCGGTCCGACCCGACGCAACCCATCTTTCCCGACTGGCCGATCCGACATATTGAACCGTTGACCGGCCATTGACTTTTTCCATGTATACCTATCCTGGCGTTTTTTGGCGTCCTGAGTCCGTTTTTAGGTCCGTTTTGCCAAATTCGAACCCGGTAAGCTGTTTTTCACTGATTTATCATCTGATTCGATCCGTTTTTCGAAATTAAGCTCCATTTTTGATGAAATTTCTATTGTAATGTATTTGACGAATTATTGGAAGTTAAATTAAAGATCGAGGGCATTCGAATGAAATTTATATGGTCGATCAGTATGGCACGAAAATTGAGGTAATACATAACTACCTTTTTATGCTTTATGAAACATGTTATTGGTAAATGCATGAATGAAAATGTTTGAAATTATTGGATAGTTAATTAATTCCTACACTTAATACGAATACAGTAAAAAGTAGGTAACTGAATATGACTCTGATGACTAAAATAAGAAATTGGAGGACAATTGGAATTAAATTTCAAGTTCTGGGATTAAGTGGTAAAAGAATCAGCCATGGATATGTAAATTATAATTTATCTCATTAAAGGCACTTGGATGATAAATTATGAGAATACTTCGATTTGGTAAAATTATAAAAATACCCTTATATTGTAAAAAGACAAGAATTGACCCTGAAAGTTAGATAATAAGTTTGTTTAGGAATAATTTATAGTTTAGAGATTATCCGGAAAAGAGATCAACCCTAGAATCTATAAATTATAATTATCTTTGTTAAGATTTTTAATACCGAAATTATATGGTTAAGAAATTACGAAATTACCCTTGAGATGAAAAAGTAACCCGAATTGACCCTGAAAGGAAAAGTACTTAAGAAGTCATGCCTAAATCGATGAATTACCAGTTTCATCGTTAAGTTCACATGTTTATACAGAAAATTTTTGAAATCCTTAAATCTCCGAGTTATGAGTAAATACATGAAGAATAATTTATCGAGGATACTCTTTTGTTATAATTGTTTGAAAAGACAGAAATAGATGATAAGAGCGGATTAAATAATAAGATGGGATGGAATGAAATGATTGAAATACATTGGATTTGTAAATTGATCAAAATACCCCTAGAATGCAAAAGATCCAAGAATATCACCAATTCCAAGAATGATTGGATATCCTCCAGCTCTAAAATGACTGAAATAACATTAAGCATCGAAATAAATAAAATACCCTTATGAACTAGATTAAGTAAATGTCTTGGATTAATTAAGGAATCCAAATAAACATGGGTGTTGTACTACCCTTAAAAGTTATGGAACAACTTAAGTGAGTCGATCAACACTGATGATATATCCGTACCTAAATGGCATAGATATCACTTGAATCCTTGTTCATCTCCTCAAGATTTGATCGATGATAATTCTAGAAGTACTCGGCTCAGCTCAACACTAGAGAGCATTCGATATTAAAAAGTGGATATTCGTGAGATAAATCAACCATGAATACCAAAATAATTGCATTATATGACCAAAGTGAACTGAACAGAAGTAAAACATGTATCAGAAACTCATAAGCGTCTAAATTACTCGAGAAGACTCTGACGAAATCGAGATAGATTTGACTACTAAATGAACTAAATAACTTTAATGACTGAGAATTTAGTAAGTGATTGGATGAGTCTGGGAACACCGATGAACTTGCATGATGTACGGTCTCTATGAGTTATGAACCAAGAATCGAATATGTCGACAATACTTGATATTGTTGCAATGTGGAAAGGAAATAAATATTATTGGGATAACTGTTTGATCCTTAAGATATATTCAGCGATGATTCTTAGGATAATCAATGGACAATAATTATTGGTATTAAAGAGTGAATACCCAGGAATGGCAATGAATTGACCAGTCGACAGACATCAGTTCTTGGAGTTGTTCATCTCAAGTTATTTGATAAACCGATCGATTGACATGGATGGTAAATGTCTTGAATCTTCATTTCTCTTTATCAACTCAAATCACTCCGGGCATTCTTGAACACTTTCCTAATGCACATGAAAACATAGTGGGATTCTAAAGTATCAACCTTAAATGTCAGATTAGATCGGCTAATAATTGATTCTCTCCAATAGGACCTCGTTCCTGTAATCCGATCAAATTGCACAAGTTCATGTTATCCATACTGATAACTATAAAATGTCTCTGAAAAGTACTTGGATTCTCTAGTGTGTTCCCTATATATTAATAAATTGTTTTATTGTTTTAACATGTGGTACACTAAAATCTATGGTTATTGTTTTATGGATTCACTGACTTAATGGTGATGGCTTATGGATTATGACTGCTATCTGATTATTGGTTTTCACTGGTATATGATTTCCATGATTAAGGATTTATGGAATTGCATCACTGTATAAATTGTATCTTGGAGATACTTATTTATAAAGTACATTTCTGATCAAGCTGGAAATTTTTTATGGACCTAATGTGACTCTTAAGTAGGCTCTGCGACCATGAGATCATTCTCGAGTAGGCTCTGAGACCCTGAGATGTATTCTCAGGTAGGCACCGTGGCCCCGAAAACTTTCTTGGGTAAGCTCTCAGGCCCTAAGATGTTCCCTTAGGTTGACTCTTTATACAATGGGTTTAAACTACGAGTTTAAAAAAGCTAAACTACATTATGATTTATGAGATTTTATTGAACTATTACTTGATTAGTGTACCTATTATGATTTTATCGTACTGTTGGAACACACTAGACATCCTATTCGATCTCCTGAAAATGTCATAACATGAATGCTTCCTATGACCTAAGATAGTCATGGATTCTACTTGATGAACTACCAGTGGAACCCCAGATTATCTCGAAAACTGGTATACGTCTAATTCAATAAGGAATTATATGGTATTCCATTTATCTGCATGACCTATAGCATCATCTGGTAGTTCTGTATTACTGAGCTTTCCGAAACTCACTCTATTACTCACCATTGCAGGTTAAAAAAGATTAAACCAGAGCAGCTATGGACATTCGGAATGAAGTTTTTCTGGTGTTGCTTGCAGAGTATGGTACCTGTGATTAGGGGGCATGTAGATTGTATTTTGTTTTATATACGAGTCTGAAAATCTGTTTTATTTCTGAATATCGATAAAGTTTACTTTTATATTTATAAATGATTTTATGAGTTTACATGTTTTAATAAAAGTTTTAAATTTCCGCTATTTTTACGGTGGGTCACTCCGATGGCCCTAATGTGACTTTCTGGATCAGATCGGATTACCCGCATCGGTCTGATGGGGTTACAACATGGTTCCTTTGGGCATATGCTTCTGGTCAATCACAGGGCATATGCTTTTGATAGATTAACGTGATTTGTTAGCACGAAATCTAAAATTTTATCAACAAATATACTTAGTATACGTACTTATAAAAAGCCATAATAGTTCTATGACTGATACATGCATTAAAGGTCACTATAAATATTTTCCGACACAGTCAAGAAAGGGATCGACACCCTTCACAATCATACTATCTTTTTTTTCTTCTCATTCTTCTTTATGATCATCCCTTTGCAATATAAAAACACTGGTTAACGATCATCTTACAACTGATCATGGCTCTATACCCAAATTAGAAAGAGTGAATTGTCTATGATCGATAAAATATTTTTATTTCCGTCAAGAAATTTAAATAATATCGAGCAATATATGAATCGCTTGAATGCTAGTGAGTTGAGTCTCGAAAATATATATTAATTAAACCTTACTCCATATTTAAATATTTGTCAAAATAAACCTTGCTACTTCAAGTTTTAGATTAAATATTTATTAGGTTCTATAAGACTATTAGTTATAAAATTAAACGATTTAATTTTTTTGACTTAATACAAAAATAAGTGTTTAAACTATATCTTAAATACAATTTAGTGCTTAAAGAATTTTTCGCTAAAAATAGGTATTTAATATTTTCAACGTTACACTTTTAGGTGTTTTAGCCTTAATAGTCGTTAAATTTGATCGTGACATGTGTCACGCATTTAAAAATTATTTTTATTTGAAAAAAATTAGTTTTATAATTTAAAAAAACTAAAAATTCATCAAATTTTACATTTTCTGCCACCAGTTAGCCACCATTTATATGTAGTTGTCACCGTTAACCCCATCAAAATTGTCTCGTTGCCATAACCAAAATTAAATTCCCCACTAGCCGTGAAACTACACCGATCGTCGTAAAAAACACCATGAAGGGTCGTCAGATTTTAAAGTTTTTCGTTTATTTTTTCCGACGATTTCGACAGCTACAGTTGTTCGTACGTTAGAAAGTCACCATCATTATGTTCTTCATTGTGTTCTGAAAAAATCTGACTGATCGTGACTGTTCGCCGTTGAAGGTGGGGCGACGGGAGGGAGAGGGACGATGAGGGGAATAGGGATGATCAAAATACTTAAATTCGATAGGTCTCGACCTAATCTGACCTGATAGGGACATTTTTTTTATTTTCAAGGCTCGGGGCGGGGCAGGGCAGGGCCGAGTTTAAGGTGAAAAATACCAACTCGACCTAACCTGGTTGTTGTTGTTATTATTATTATTTTAAGAATTTTTATTTTTATATTATTAAAATATATTATAAAATATATTAATTTAACAGTTTAAATATAATAAATAATTATAAATATATTATTATAAAATATATTATTTTAATTATTTTAAAATATTAACATATCTTGGTCGGGTCAGGTCGGGACTTTAGTCTAAAAATCGGGACAGGTTCAGGACGGGAAAAAAACTCAAAATTCCTCAGGGCGGGATGATTTCGGGTCGGGTCAGGCGGCCAAAAACCCGGCCCGGCCTGCCCCGTGCCCATCCCTAGAGGGGAAGGGGGTTTGATTTTTTTTTCTTTTGAAAAAAATAGTATTTTTATTATTGAAAATTAAAAAATTAAAAGGTATAACGGTATACACCTAAAAATATAACGGATAAAACGTTAGGTACTTATTTTTAACGTAAAATTTTTTAGACATTAAATCATATTTTGATGCATGATTAATTTTTTTTATTTAAAAGGGACACGTTGGATTATATATAGATGGAAGCGTGGTCCAATCCAAACCCAGTTCCCCATTGATTCAAAGCACTGAAAATCCTTTATTAATAAAAGAAAAAATAAACAAGAATGTGTTCAAAATATAAAGGCGGAAGAAATGAGAATTTCACAGTGAAGGTCCCTCTATGATTCCCCCCACGGGACTACGCAATTTCATTGCATTCAAGGCCGCGCACCCGATGCTATTCCATGCCAGTATGAGTTGGTCTGTGTATTCATTTTATTTTTAACGCTACAAATCGCCTTTCCTTTCAAATTTTGTGCCTACAAGTCCAGGACTCGATTGACATGCATCTGTCTGTTCTGGCCAATACGGTTGGTATCGTATGCATAGATTGGTTTATAATATTTTCACTTTCTGTAATTATAATTGCTTGTACAAATAAAATATGATTATTAACTCAAATTCTTTACATTTGAGACAGGCTTTAGGTGATAGATTAGTTTAGGCTTTTAGATATGGGCTTGGGCTTATTTTTATGAGTTCAAGCTCTTTGTTAGAGGAGGTCGGGAAGACATGATTTGATTCAGAAGGGAAAATCAAGTGGATGAGATAAAATTGATATAATTTTAAAATTGGAATTAAATTATAATAAAATGTTAAAATTAAGATTTATATTTATTATTTTTTATCAATTTTATTTTTTGAAATGTAATGTGTTATATTTAATGACTACTAAATACTAATCAGATTATTATTTTATAACTTCTCATAATTGAAGAAGGAAGTAACAAAAAACATTTTATAATTAAAAAATTATTTACAGATTTTATCTTGATTTTTATTATATAGAAATTAGTTATTTTCTAACACAAAAATATTATTTTTTGAAAATGTTCGAACTAATTTATCTATGTAGTTAAAAGAAACGTTGTTATTACTAAAAGTTAATATTTAAACGATAATTATCAAATAATTAAAAATATTAAAAATATATATTATTATATAATAACTTAACTAACTCAAAAAAAATTATCTTTTGAAAATAAAATGTAAAAGCTCTCGCATTGAATCACAAAACTGCCCTTAAAAAATCACATCGTGTCCTCTTAAGATGACAAACCTTATCTGTTGAGACATAGCTTCGTGGTTTTCATCTTCAACATCTTGACTGCAATGGCAGCCATGCTCTCGCTCTCTCCTAATCCTCCTATCGCAACTTTTCCCTCTCTTCGTTCCACTTTCAAGGTTCTTTCATTCTCTCTTTAATTCATCATATATACTCCATTTAGTATCACTTAGCTGAATTTATCTCTTTCACTGCAGGGAAATCAGAGGAATTTAAAGCCAAACCCTTTTCACATTATTCATATCAGGACTAATCAGCGAGAGGTAGGAGAAGCACAAAAGGGGACACGGTCTTTAGTTGTCGTGAACCAAGCAGCGAAGACCCAAGTGTCGGTTACAGGTTCTAATGTTCGGTTTCGGTTGGACAACCTTGGACCTCAGCCTGGGTCTAGAAAGAAAGCGAAGAGAAAGGGGAGAGGAATATCGGCCGGACAAGGCGGCAGCTGTGGGTTTGGAATGAGGGGTCAGAAATCACGGTCTGGACCGGGCGTTCGAAAGGGATTCGAGGGCGGCCAAATGCCACTTTATAGGCGTATCCCCAAATTGAGAGGAATTGCCGGAGGTAATCTTTTTTTTGTTTATTTCTTTGTATCTCTAAAATTGGAATTAGAAATTTTGGTTTTATGGTTTAAAGTGCCAGCATTCAACTTGTCTGCTTGAACTTTGAGTCCTTGAACTCTGCATTTTCTGGAAATTCAATCAAATGGCTGCCCTTGTCATGCACATATAATTTTGGGTTCGAGCATTACCATGATTTGGTTGTTAGCAGTTGACAATTTGTGCTTTGTCTTATTTATTGCTTGTTTTTAAGTTGTGTTATTTGAGTAGAATTGTTCTCGGGGGCTTTTGGATCTGGAACGTGGGATTCCCATGGAATGGAATCTACATCCTCGTTTGGTTAGCTCGGGAATCTCATTCCCGGTAACGTAAGATTACTAATAGGGTGCGTTTGGTTCACAGAATGTAAGATTACCAGTGGGAATGTAAGATTACTAAGGAATAAGATTAATGGGAATGTTAAGTATTTTGTGTTTGGTTGGCTTAGCAAGAATATAAGATTATCATGTTTGGTTAAAATAATAAAAGATTATTGGAATGTATATTTGACCAAATTGTCTTTATTATATATTTATTTTTTTAACAAGTTGGAAAATATTTATATATTTTCTTTAAAAAATTTAAATTCATAAAATTTATATATATTTTTTTACAAAATTGAAAATATAAAATGGTTTAATGAAAGAGTAAAATTTTATTTTAATCTCTGAACTTCATATAAAATTTTAATTATAGACTTTTTTTTGTAAATCTAAAATAGTTTAAGAATAAATTTGTAATTTAACCTTCGTAGAATTTTTATTATTCAATTTTAGTCCAAAACACCGGTAATCCAACAATACCTAAGAAAAGGGAGGTAATGACATTCCCGGTAATATACCCCAAAAGATCCACTATTGGTAATCTTACATTACCGGGAATGGGATTCCCGGGCTAACCAAACGGGGGAATGTGGATTCCATTCCCATGGGAATCCCACATTCCCCCATCCAAACACCCCCATAGTGGATTTTTTGGGTATATTATTGGGAATGTCATTACCTTCCTTTTCTTGGATATTGTTGGATTATCGGCATTTTGGACTAAAATGCCTTTAAATTTTTTTCTCAAAAATATTCTTCTGTCATTGAATAATAAAAATTCTACGAAGGTTAAATTATAAATTTATCCTTAAACTATTTTAGATTTACAAAAAAAATCATAATGAAAATTTTATATGTTCAGGGATTAAAATAAATTTTTATCATTTCATTAAACATTTCTATATTTTAAATTTTGTAAAAAAATTATATGAATTTAAATTTTTTAAAGAAAATATATAAATATTTTCCAACTTGTTAAAAACCAAATATATAATAAGGACAATTTGGTCAAATATACATTCCAATAATCTTTTATTCCTTTAACCAAACACGGTAATCTTACATTCTTGCTAATCCAACCAAACACAAAATACAACATTCCCAGTAATCCTATTCCATGATAATCTTACATTCCCACCGGTAATCTTACATTCCGTGAACCAAACGCACCCTAAGTGATTTATGAAAAAACTAAGACAGTTTTCTTAATTGTATAAAGAGATTAGAGCGATAAGGGGTATTTAATCAATTTTTTCGCGAGAATATGGTAAGCCTAACATCTTACTATGTTGGATCAAATTAATGAACATGTATGGATTCTGGTGATAATGAAGCTGGTACTGGGGAGTTTATGAGTAAAAATGATTTTTTGCATCTTATCGTGTCCATAAAAAGCTTATCTCGCCTACAGAATATAATATATAACAGTGTGCATGTGCAGTGCCAACTAACTTATATCGTTCCCAGATGAAAATTAGGATACAAGGTCTCACTTCGTGGTTTAACTGGTGATAAGAGGAATTTCTTGCTTGTTGCGAACTAGATGCTTCATGGGCTAAGTAGGGTATGATATCCTTCAGTCAAATTATACTAAGCCAAAAATAACTAACCTTTAGGATCATAATAAAACTGATTGGCTGAGTTTTTGCGCAAGTGACAACCAAATTGGCGACTTTCTTGATTAGGTGTCTTCGGTCATAGAAGTACTGGTGATACAGAATCAAGGTTTATTTAAATCTTATCATGCTGTTTTAGGTGTGGATTATAGTACAGAGAGTCTTTGCTTTGTTCTCGTTGAGTGAACCAAAACACATGGTTGATAGACTTATATAAGGATAACAAGGTCTGTCTTTGACAGACTTTTTTTCTTCTGGAAGTGTTCAAATGCATGTCAAACTTGTTTCTGGCTTTAGTTTAAATGCAACACATGACTTGATTACATAGAGGGGTCAGCACTTAGTTGTGTTGTTTTTGGAAGTCTCGGGTTGCTGATTTTTTTATGGTAATGTTATGGTTTGATATGTTCTTAAGTTTGATTTAAATTGGTTTTTGGTTTTCTTTGTATTGTTGGTCAGCCCTATTATGAACAGCTTGTGTACTCATCTCTTCCATCAATAATTCTATCATGCCTTTGAATATAAATACACACACACACACACACACACATACACATATGCATGATTGCATGTAGTGTGGGTTCTCTTTCCTATAGCATATCCATTTGGACTAACAACCATCTCAACAAAGCCCTTATTTGCCAAAATTTCTTGCCATTTTTGTATTTGAACTTTGTCTCCGTTCATATTTATGTATATCTGCACACTGTTTAAAGCAATTGCTGACCTTTTTTGTTTAGGTATGCATGCGGGATTACCTAAATACATTCCTGTTAACTTAAAAGACATCGAAACGGCCGGATTTCAAGATGGAGATGAGGTGTCGTTGGAGACTTTAAAGGAGAAGGGTTTGATAAATCCATCAGGAAGAGACAGGAAACTTCCTTTAAAGGTACATACAATTTCAGACTTATATTGCAACAACTATACTTGTAAGAAGTACGATGACCCCAATAGAACTTGTCTTGTTCCCTTCCCTGAAAGAATTGTAATTATAATTATCAGGGAAGGGTTAATGGAACATGAGAACTTATGTTAGTTTTTAAAATAAAATATTCATCGTTAATGACTAATTAACTGTGTCCGATTTAGATTCTTGGCGAGGGAGAGCTGAAAGTAAAACTGAACATGAAGGCCCGAGCCTTTTCAGCATCCGCAAAGGAAAAGCTTGAGGCCGCCGGTTGTTCTCTCACCGTGCTGCCAGGGCGAAAGAAGTGGGTTAAGCCATCGGTTGCAAAGAACCTTGCTCGTGCCGAGGAATACTTTTCCAAGAAGAGGGCTGCATCATCAGCCTCGTCCGAATCCGCCTCCGAGTGAATGACATGTAATTTGAACTGCTCTGTTTTGATAAAATGTTGAGAGCTGTGAAGAAAACTGCATTATATTCCCTGGGATTCATTCAATCATTTTTCTTTTTCCTGCCATCAATCATTAACGTTTATATTGATTTAAGTGAATTTTTGTTAATTTTTTTAATAATGTTATATATATCTATAATCAATAGATATATTCGACGACCATTTTTAAACAGCGAAAAGAATCATTTTTCTTAGGGTATACGAATAAATATGGTCCACCCAACAAAAGTATCTATCCTCATTATAACCCGTAATGATCTTCAAAATATACGAACATATGAATGTCCTCCTCTCATTTTCAGAGATGTATTCTCTTAATTAGTAGGAGTTTTATTCTAATCAATTCATTGAGATTCGACCATCATCGTACTCATTTGATACCTTTCTAATAAAGTGACAACACATACTAATCTAGTCTACAACACTCTTATATATCACAACACGATTGTTAACTAGAAGATCTAATTGAAATAAAATACGGCGTTATTATATTAAAAAACCCTAATAATTTTTTTTGAACAACACCGTTAGCAGATAGTTATAAAAATAACCCTCAAACTGTCCACTTAAGATACCTCGTGTCTTACAAAAAATGATGTCAGACCTCGTATTTTACGAAAAGTTAGTTGTATACATTTATTATTGTCTTTATCCAATATTAAATGACTTTATCTGAAAAAAAAATTAATAGGTCTCGCGCTCTATAAAATGCGATGTACATTAAACGCGTTTTACAGGATGCGAGATAATCCTACGTGATCAATTTGAGAAGTATTTTTCTAACAAATCTGTTAAGGGTCGTTATTTTTTTAAAAAAATAATGGGGATATTTAATTTAATAAAACCATAAAATACTCTCTAGAATAATTGTACACTAAAATAAAACCGTGTCTTTAAACTCCAATTCTCTATGAATGTAAAAATAAATATTCATTGTAGTTTAAAAGTTTTAATCATATGGTGATAATAATGATTAAAATGATTATTATTATCTTTAAAGATTTTAAGTTTAAATACGAGTGATTGTATGATATTTAAATATTTATTGTTAGATAAGTGAAAATATTAAAAATAAATACTACCACTTATAAATTATAATCGCTTTAGATTAATAATAAAAATTAGGGTAAAATACAAGGGTGATCACTCGATTATGGTCAAAAATCATTTTGACCACCTACATTTCAATTTGATCAAACAGACCATCTAACTATTTAAATGCTTCAATCAAATCATATGTCGTTAACAGTTAACGAAATAGGTGATGTGGCAGTAAAAAAATATTTTGATATAATTACACAACTGATCCATGTTACTTATATATTTTTTTTAATTTGATGCTCATTTTAATAAATTAAAATAATGACATGTGTCATCATTCAATTTGATAACTAAATTTATTTTAGTTTATTTTTAATTTAAAGATTTACTTTCCTCCAACCATCACCCTCATGTTGAAAAAAAATAAACCAACACATGTAATGGGGAAGCTGGGATTTGAACCCAAGACCCCTTGGGTGATATGGGAAAAACCAAATCATTGGGCCAAGGCATTTATTTTGTTATTTTTATATAATGAACAATATATATTTTGTATCTTAGTAATTTTTTCTTTAGACAACAAATAATACAATTAATAAATAAAAATTAAGAATACTTTTTACATTAATAAAAAATATGATTATCTAAAACATATGAAAACAATAATAAAATATTTTAAGTTAATATATTTTAAAAAATATATATTCGTATAATAATACAATATTTTAAGTTAATATATTTTAAAAATATATATTCGTATTATTTTAATATATTTTATATATTAATATTTTTTTGTTAATGTAAAAAATATTCTTGATTTTTATTTATTAATTATATTATTTGTTGTCTAAAGAAAAAATTACTAAACTACAAGATATATATTATTTGTTGTATAAAAACAACCAAAAGAATGCCTTGACCTAATGGTTTGGTTCTTTTCATTTCACCTAAGGGGTCTTAGTTACAAATCCCACTTATCCCTTTATATGTGTTGGTTTATTTTATTTCAACCTGAGTATGACATGTGTCACGCTCTGATTAAAGGAAAGAAAATATTTAAAATAAAATAAACTTAGTCATTCAATCAAATAATAACACATTTTATTATTTTAGTTCATTAAAATGAGGATCAAATTGAAAGAATATAAGTAACATGGACCGATTGTGTAATTATACCAAAATATTTTTAACTGTCATGTCACACGTTCCATTAAGTATTAACGACAGGTGATTTGATTGAAACATTTAAATAGTTGGATGATATATTTGATCAAATTGAAACATCGGTGGTCAAAATAATTTTTGACCATAGTTGAATAGTAACTCGTATAGTTTACCCTAAAAATTATCGCCTGATACGTACAATAAATTTCAACAACTACTAAGTACTCTTTGATGACTTTAGTGGATAAATTTCTTTATTTTGTAAACAAACGGATCGAAAAGATAATTATTATCTTGTTAATGTTAAACAATTATATAAATTATTTCATAAAAATGTATTAAATAACTAACTGTTAACAAAATTAGTAAGTTTGCAATTTGATGAATTATTATTATTTTTAAAATTTGGACGCAGGCCATTATTCCCCTTAGAGGCACGAATTATGCTTTGCATTGCAAAAAATGACATCTTATAAATAATGTCACTTTATTATTTATAAAGGTCGTATCACCATCTCGAATTTACTAACTAAAAAGATAAAATGATATTAAAATAAATAATAAAAACTTTACATGAATAATAAAAGAGAAAAATATTATCATACGTATTAATAAAATTATCATTTGAAATATTTTTCTAATTTTACAAATTCGAATAATTTAAAACTTTATTAATTTTCCTGCATTGATGATGCTATTTTTTTAATGAAAGGGAGAGACTAATAAAGAAAAATATAGTAATTATTTTTAAATAGCATATCAATGCAGGAAAATTAATTGTACGGCACCCATTAAAAAATCTAAGAATCCTCGGTCTTAACCTAATTTTGAAAAAAGAACGTGTCAAAACTCAAAATACACCGCTAATTTCGCATTGGATCCGAAAAGCACAAACCAGAGCAAGTCGGTTTGGTGGACTAATTCCTGAAGGGGTCGGTTGATATTTTAGATATCTTTTATTTTTTTTAATACCTAAATTTAGACATTAGAATAGGTGCTAATACCCATGTTCTCGGTATTCCAGTTGGGACCCACTATTTTTACTATTTTACATTTTATTTATGATAATTTTATGGTTATTTTTTCATATTTATATATGATTTTTAAATAAAATTATCAAAAATACTATTCAGGAATAGATAAGATTTGTACGAGAGTAATTTTTTATACATATAACATAAAGTAAAATTTAAATAATTTTATCTTATCTATTCAGTGGCAGAGCCATATCTTGATGAGGATGGGCATATATCGACCATGGAATATTCATTTTCTTCTTTTATTTACTTATTTTACTGATGTTGTCTGTCATAAATTTTTTCATGCTCACTCTGAAATCTAAATTTTCTTCTATTAGTTACTTATTTTACAAACAGTCATTGTCTTTAAATTTTATTTGTACTTATCATATTTAAAATTTTTTAAGATATGTGTGTCCTTCCTGAAGAATATTTATGTATCTGTCATTTTATCTATTTGAATTTCAAACTCTAAAACTCTTGATATTAAATTTAATTTTTTTATCATTATTCATGACTTAATTAGATGTGTATAATAATACAAATAACTTACAATATATATATATATATATATATATATGTGAAATTTGTAAATCTCAAATAATTAAATAAGAATATTTTGTATAAATTTTGATAATTTGATTATATGAGAATAAAATCATATTTAATATGTGTATATGTATAACATAAAAGTTTATGACATTTAATTTTCTAACATTGGATATTATATTATTATTAAGGGTTTGTCCTATTTTCTTTTTTTTCTTTCTCTTTTTATTTTTTTATTTTTTGGGGTGTTAGTTTATTTTCTTCTTTATCTTTACGATCAACGACGACGACATCAGTCTTGGTGTTAATCGTCAACTGTCAATACTTATTATTTTTTTGTTTTATTATAGCATATCTTTATTTATTTTTTAATAATTATGTCTTTATGGCATGTTTTTTTCTTATTCTTTTATGGCACTTTTTATTATGTCTTTATGGTACATTTTCAGTCGTTTAGTAGTTATTTTTGTTTATTTTTTAAGGTTGAATTTGACATCGTCACAACTGATCAATAAGACACTTTTTTGTTATCATATTGGTATACTCTGTTTTGGGCCCTCAGATTGAATTTGGATATGTTATTTCCGTTAGTGGATAATATTTTTACGTCACTCAATTCTGATTTGCGATTTATCGGTAGTCTTTCAATAGCTTCATACCCTTTTGTAGTTCGTTTATCAATGCGATCAGGTCTATTTGTATCTATCTTTTATCCGAATTTATTTAGTTTGGTTTTTTAACATTCTCCTTATATGATCATTGTGATACTAAAGTGTCTAGTTTTCTCGTGTTTAGGAAATTATATTTATATGTATTTAGTTTACCGTTTACTATTATGATTGTAAACCTTTATTATAATTTGAATATTTTATATTTTTAAACAAATTAGTAACTTCTATAAAAAGAGGTTTATAATATTTGTAATGATGATTGACATGTATATAAAATTAAAAGCATATTGATTTTGTTAATTTTTCTATATAAATATGATTAAATTATATTTTTATCTATACATCACACGTGCATGTTATTTATAATATATGTTATTAAGTATATTTTTAGATTTTAATAACTTATAATTTATTTTTTTTATAATTATTTTATAAAATTCAATATAGTACTTTTAGTGTATACATATATATATATATATATATATATTAAATTTTTAATAATTTATTATTAGTTTTAGTTTTAGATGTTTTTATATTTTAGATTAAATTTTTTTATTTTTCAAAAATATAATAAACACTTAAACA